ATCCCATTACTCTGCTGTGAGTTTCTGGAAAAAGAAATTCTTTGTACTGCTGGGAGAGCTATGGAAAGTAATTGCTCTCTCTTGTTGGATGTGAACAAGGAAGTACACAGTCTTGATTGCTACTGGCCTGTTATGGCTTAAAGGAACTAGTCTCCAATGAAACCAACTCTTCAAACAGTGCAGAAAGAGAGAAATAAGTTTCCCAGTGTGGGAGCCTCTGGCTCAACCAAGTGTGCAGACAACCTTCCCTCTGGAACACCAGTTCGTGTAAACTAACACATTTCCTTCATTTTAAATGAGTTTCCTTGGCTTTGATGCTGTTTCGGCCAACTACCTTGGCTGACTGAGCTAGCCATGCTCCCTTTCCCCCGCCGCAGTTGCTCTCTGCCCTGCTCTGGGTTTCAGGGGCTGACAGTACGGACTGCACCACAGTGGCTCTCTGGCCCTCTGGGTTCTGGTTGCGCTTGGCCGTTGGGCACCTGCTGCAGATCTGAAGGCTGGAGGAGAGAAAGTTTGGGGCATTCTTTCTGCATTTCCTCCCTTTGCCTTTGCCTCATTTTGGTTCCAGGAGTGGCTCTTATTTTTGTCCACAGCTACAGCTCCTACCTGGTGGGAACCTCCAGCAACCAGCCCTTCAGTGCCAAGGTAACCCCTCCCCAGCCCTTCTAGGCATGGAAGAGAAGCAGTAGCCTCCTGTCATTGCCAGGCTCCAGGAACCTCCACGTTCCTGTGGGGTCCTCAGCTGTGCCCTCCCAGTCCCTTTGCCAAAATCTCTTCATGGGATCCTGCTGGGATCCTAACTGATACAACATTCAAAGAGCTTAGACCAGTGCTTGGCATATGGCAAATGCTCAATGAATGTGATTGTTGTTACATTGTTCTTGTTATTTCCTTTTAATGTAAGATGTCTAAACTAAAATACCTCTTCGTGTGCCCAAAAGTGAGGAATTAGAAAGCAAATTGATCTCAGTACATTAGAAAAAGTATATAAAAGTCCTCTCTCCCACATGCTTATCAGGGTGGTGACATGCAATAGAAAGATGTGAGAAAACCTTTCATTTGGCTTCAGATTCTATGAAAAACACACATCTATTTTTAGAAGATGCTAAGCATAATCAAATTCCAATCAATGATTTACTAGATTCAGTTAATCCCCATTTCACCAGGTAAATGTCATCTGAATAGTTCCCCATCTATCAAGTATCACCCTTACCATTAAGCAATACTAGTCTCTTGAATATCTTCATTTACTGGAGTTATGTCTTTACCCAGAGTTTCCATTTCTTCTTCCTTCTTCCTTTTTTTGTGACGTTTCCGAAGAGGACTAGGAAAATAGCAAGTTAGAAGTTAGTGTGGGCCTGTTAGTTCATGTGAACACAAAATTAATCATCAAGAGGGCTTATGACCTTATTTCTAGATGTATAAAATGCCTAAGTTCCTTTTTTCTTAAATATTTTGGGTCCTCTCTTACTCTTTTTCCTGGCTCAGATAGCAACAGGTAGCAGTGTGGGAAGAGTAGTTATCAAATAGAAAGGACATGGTACCTGATTATGGATGGAGCTTGGCTAGCACAAGAAAACTTACTAAGGTCAAGTCATTTTACAGAATAGACTGATAAGCATTATTTGGTGCAAAAGTAAGCACTAGTATAGATTGGAAACAGGCATAGAAAACCAAGAGAGTGAAGGTAGCCTCTGGATATGTTACTAAGCTTCTAGATACATTAATTAAGAAATGTGTTTGATAGTCTGGACTGCAGTCCAGTTTTAAAGTATAATTCAAAATTAATGTAATAAAATAGGCATTTCTCAGCTCTGGCCCAAACCAGGCATAAAAATTCATTTTTGCCTTAAAGAAGAGAATTTTTTTAATATACCTCTCAATTTTAGAGCTAGAAGGAATCCTATATAGGTCATCTGACTTGATTCTTCTCATTGTACAGAAAATTTAAGTTTAAAGATATTAAGAAATTTGCCCAAGGTCTCAAAGATATTTAATGACAGAGCTGGGACAAAAATAAAAAACTCTAGATTCCTGGTAGTCATGTTAACATTTTTCTAAAAACATTGTGAAGAATCATGAAACCCTCTTCTGGTATGTACTATTGCCCAAAAGTAAATGTAGATGTTTAGGAAGCTATGCTAGCTTCTCAAGACAAGAAGATAGCACCTTTAAAAAAATGCCTTTTTAGTATACTATATTGGAGTCCTGGTCTGATAAAAAGTAAAGACAGGAAAACAGTGTAATCATCTTTTTTAAATAAAGTCATTATTTTAATGTGCCCAAGAGAAAAACTGTTTATTTGTTTCTATCTTTCAAAGTTATTATGTCATGGTACAGTTTAAGAAAATAAAAGTCTTATTTAGCCTACTAAAAAACCCACATAAAATATAACTGACTTTAGGACTAACTAGTTGGCATGTGTTTTTGATATAATTGACAAATAACATTGTAATTTTAACATTGTAATAGTTTCAAGTGTACAACATAATGACTTGATATACATGCCTATTGGGAAAATGATCACAATTCGCTAAGTTAATATCCATCACCACATATAGTTACAAAATTTTTCTTCCTTGTGATGAGAACTTTTAAGATTTACTCTCTTAGCAACTTTAAAATGTATACTACAGTATTATTAACTATAGCTGCCATGATGTACATTCCATCCCCAGGACTTAGTTATAACTTTTAACCACCTTCACCCATTTTTCCCATCACTTCTTTTCAATTAGGAGATTAATAAAATTTGGTTTTAAATTATAATAATTATGCTCAGTAAAATGACAAAAATTATGTCTCATGTTTTATCATAAATAAATCCTTCAATATAAATGATGGCAAACCTCAAAAAGTGATTTATTTCATTCAAAGTGAAAATGGAAAGAGAAAAGGTAGGAAGGAGGGAAGGAAGAAAGGAAGAAAACAGTGAGCAAGACACAATTCCTCAGATGTACTTAATATTAAACTTAAAAATACTTACTGACAGCATGTGCAGACACCGATCACCAGAATGATAAAAATGACCATAACTGCTATTAGACAAATCACCAAAATTTGCCCTCTGTCTCCTCTTAGGTAAAAGAGGTCAACTCTCTCACACCTTGCCCCTGTGTAGCCTTCATCACAGCTATAAAAATAAAAATTAAAAAAACAGAGGTAAAAAGTGCAAGACTTTTAGGAATCTCTAATATTTCTTTTTTTGAAGAAACTAACATTATTTTCATTAAATGGAATAACAAAGGACACAATTCCTTTAAAAAAATTTAAGCTGTACACTATTGTGTCCACAAATAATTTCACATTCTTTGCTGAAAGCCTGTCATCCACTGAGGACTATTAATATGTCTAACATAATGACAATTTACTGAAATTTAAGATTCTGAGTTGGATAGAGAGGGGATGACAAATGCCCAGCATTCCCAAGCACTTAATGACCCTCCATGATAAGGAATTCAAAATCCCTAGGATTTCCCATTTCATTTTAAGGCAATATGAACAGTTTCAGTGTACCCAAGTTCTTTTAAGTCATACTGTTCTCTGTGATCAAACAGCAATGGGTATGACAGTTCATAGAACAGCACCTAACACATATTATAAACTCCATACATGTTATTCAACAGGATTCCTCTTCCTCTGTGTAACTCCTACTCATCAGCTCTACGGTGGGGGTCACAGATGAGGTAATGTTCTTCTATGAACCACCTCCCCAGCTATGTTCCCCCCGAAACACATGGTCTTGTCCTCTTCATTCCTTTATCTGATTCCTGGAGGCCACGTTTGCAGACATGTACACCATTCCCTCTGCTCTCCTCTAAATGGCTCCCTTTCTCCATGGTCTTCATAAACTGCAGTGACCAGGAATTACTAGTCTCCAAGTGGTACTATCACTTTCATCATTTCCTCAACTCTGTATCAACACAGTCTTAGGGTTCACCTCAATGCAGCAGATTCCCCAAGTCTGAGGTGACAGTTACGGGCTATGCTTGGCCAAGCCGAAAATTGAGCAACACTCAACAAGCTAAAGGCTGAGTGACTTGGGCACTATCCATATTATCCTCTGAAGTGTGTCAAATGCTTACAAGTATGTAAGAAGTTTGTCTGAGGACATTTCAAAACCAAAATTATATGTTGTAACATCAGTTCCTTTGCATGAACAAATATTCTTCCTTTTTTCTCCTCAGGCTCATTCAAAACACAGATACTGGTCATACACATGAGAATGAAATGAAAGATGAAATTCTGCTTCTTTGAAAGAGTTCTGTATAACCTTGTTTTGTTTGTTTGTTGTTTTTAAAAAGGAGAGTCTATTGCTAGACCATTCTATAGTTTATGTTTGACAAGAGCCAAGGCAGTTAATTCCCACAAAGCCTGTATTTGTCAAGTAAGAAGATCCCTTAATGCCAATGTTGTAGCCAATGCAATACTTCAAAAAACAAACAACAAAAAAATAGCTCAGTCACAGCTATCAGTTGAAAGGTGATGCTAAAGACAAGCAAAGGAGAAAAAATACCTAATGCCATCTATTGCGAAAGGACCCCAGGAAATAAGAGGGAAAATTGCTTCCTGCAGGATAGCTAGATATTTTCATTGCAAGGTCAGAATAGCAGAAAGAGACCTTAAAAATATCCTAAGATATAAAAAAAAAATCTCTTATGCATAGAACTGGAACTAGGGGAAAAAATCACTTATAACTGCATGTGTGGGAAAGAGACATTTTTATTGAATTATATTAAAATGAATTTTTATTGACACTGAAAGGTTTTTTTAATTAAAAATTTTAGGTGTATCTGATCCTGAAAGAGAGACTTTTAAAGAGTGTTTTATTGAGATTATAATTTAAATATTACCAATAGAGTCTCTTTCAATTAGCTTTTAACTGTTCTCTAAGAAATTTACTAAATATGGCACTTTTAAGTGATAATATTACCCATAGAATACACAGCAATTAATTTGCTGCTCTTTCAGGATGTTTTTCTAATTACAAGCGCTGGGTTCAGTGGCTTAACCATGATTTACTTACATTCCTCAATAAGCAGTACTTCCTGCAATTTATAACCCAGTAAAACCATGCTGGAGGGTCACACCTTTTTATGCCAGTGATGGCTGCTCCCATGTCATTTTACTTCCCATCAAACCAATAATGTACTGGCTGATGGTCATTTCAATGGGAGAGGAAGAGGTAAAGGGTGCAAGAACCGAACAGATGTTCATTAAATGCTGAATAACTGAATATATGAATCTTTATTTAATAAACATCTTAAAAAATACAATTTTACATAATTTTTAAAGATGCCCATGACCCTAGAGGACTCTGTAAAACAGAATTGGGAACACTGTTCTGAAAAAATCACCAGATATTGTAAAAAGAGATTTGTAAGTATTAACTGAATGGATCCTTTTAACAACCATTGAGGTAGATGCTATTATTAGCCCATTTTACAGATGGAGAAACTGAGGCATAGAGAAGTTAAGTGGGTGGGGCTGGGATTCAAAGGCAGGAAATCTGGCTCCCAAGTTCATGCCCCAACCACATGTAACACTTCTTAAATGAACTGTGCTGCATAAACAAAAATCATGTAACTGGAAACAAATCACCCCTACTGCAAGAATGTACTGAGAAGACTAACAGCTGATTTCAGTTATTTGAAACACACTTTGTTTTTTTATGTAAAAACGGGAGTCCACAAACTACTATAATCCCAAGCAAAAGAAGGCATTTCTGTCTTCCTAACATAGCATAGTCACCAACAGCAAGCCAATTTTGCTACACCAAGTCACCTAAAAGGTCAGACCTAGGCTGAGTATCTCCCATTCATCTCAATGGTGCAGTTCATAGAACATTTACCCTATGCTGGGTACCATGATAAGTATTTTTGCTTAATGCATTATTTTGCTTTCTAACTATTATAATGCTATCATAATAATAATAATGATAATAATAATATCCCCTTTTTTGATGATAAAACTGGGGCAGACAACTGATCCATTGTTAACACCTCGTAATTGGAAAAAAAAAATCTTAGGTGTATCTGATTCCAAAATCTGTCTTCTAATGCCTATGCTCTTCTGTCTTCCATTGATCCTGTATCATTTCACCACTAAGAAGGTGTTCATGGCTCAGATTAAGGTCTTGGTTTTGACATTTAGATAGCATTAGATGGACCATGAGAAAGCGACATATCCATTTATTCACCAGCCCTAGTAAACTCTAGACACTGTGCTTGGCACAGAGACACAAAAATGAAGTAGCCATGAGCCTTGCCCTCGAGGTGCTCAGTCACATAAGGGACATTCAAAGAAACCAACGTTATGTCTCAAAGGAAAAGCATTTCCATGGGCACGTGACAAGGTTGAGAGGAAGGACATCTAACTACACCTGAGTGTGTTTGAGAAGTGGAAGACCGTGCAGGGGCCCAAGAAGAGCTGATGCTTGAGTTGTGTCATAAAATACCAGTGAGAATATGCTTTCTAGACCATGAAAAGAGCTTGTGTGACAAATCACGAAAAAGGATATCAGCTTTTAGAGGAACGTTGGGGAATATGGTGAGAGATACGGCTGGAAGGTTAAGCTAGGATCAGAGGAAATATGGAGGCCAAGGATGGACATGGAGTTTATTCTCAGACTTGAGGGCGACAAGTTGCAAACTGATCTGAGGCAGGCAGATTACATACTGTGGTCTTCAATTTGGGAGACAGCAATATTAAAGAATAACAAATCTGCAGACATAAGGACCAGTTAGAAAAGTGTACTGGGTTAAAGGGCATTCATATTTTTAAAACCCAGTATGTTCTCTCAAGCCAGTGAGCAATTAAAGGAAATTTCACTTTTAATCAGCTCTATCTTTCCCAGCACACACACAATTTTCCTTATTTCCTCACATTAGCAAATCTTATCCCCCTCTAAGTAATATCCATGTATGTATATTTTTTAATTAAATTTAACTTTGATTAAATTTTAGGAAGCCCATGACCTTTATATGTTCCTCTAAGACAGGGTTTGGAATTACTGTTCTGAGATACTTATGGAAAAAAGCATACTGGGCAAAATATATAGAAAAACAAACATTCCATGAGCTTCAGGTCAAAATTAAACTTAAAAATTATCACCTGGCTCCTCTATGCGGCAAGGTCTCAGGCCACATTTAGAGGGACATCTCTTCAGAAGAAAATGATTAAAAATGCAAAAAAGTTATTGTGCTTGAGTAAAATTAAACTTGGACTCTTAATCTACTAAGAGTTGAAAGAGCACTTTTCTCCCAATTCCCTGCTGCACTGAACAGGCTTTGCCAATCTCTTTATAAACAGGACTTATTTCCTGGCACTTAATCGACACCTGCAGAAGTAGCTTTTAATTTGGCAGAAATTCCTTCATATTTACATTAACTACAAACCACCTAGCACATGCCAGAATTCCTTTCCATTCAAACCACCTGGGCGATTGAGCTGAAAATCATCCTTGACACTGGACAGAAACAATTTTCCTCGCATAAGGCAGCAGAGGACACAGCCCCGCCTGTAAGTGGATCTGGACTCTGGCACAGTCTTATTTCAGGAGGAAAGTGTGCGTCAGTTTCTCCATAAGGAGCTGCTGAACAGGCCCCTAAACAAGTGGCCAGGAGCAGCAGCAGGCAGAACTGAGTTCTGACAGACGGCTTGGTTAGCTCAGACTTTCCAGTCCTGTCAAGCCCCGGGCCAGCACCATCCTGCACCCCTTTCCTGCTGGCTCAGGGCGCTTCACTTACATGCAGGAGGGTGTCTGTTCGGCCACCACGAAGCGGCATCTCCCTTTGATGCAGTAATGCTTATATTGCTTGGGGCACCGAGAGAAGTGGCCTCTCCGTTTTGATTGTGTGGTGGTGGCTGAAAAACGAGAGAAAGGTCAATAAATCAACTCACTGTAAATACATATTTGTATGTAGAATCATATTTCTATCGTTGCTGCCAGCTTTTCTGTAGAATATACTCCAATCTCTCATTTCTCCTTTCTACACAGGGATGAAAGTCAGACTTCTGTGGCCCCAAACAGCTCTAGAGTTTGGGTGGTGGGGAACGTGGTGGGAATGTTTCCTATTTGAATTAAGATTTGTGTCCATCCTACCTCTTCAGAAACACTGGTGTGATTTAAAGGCTAAGGCGTAGTTGTGGTAAGAGACAAGGCTACATTCTTTTCATGAAGGTTATCAGAGTCATGGGGCTGATGGCACTGAAAAGAGAGAAGAGCTCTTTTTTCCTTTTCTTTTCTTGTTTTTTTTTTCTTGCATTTTTCTTAAGTTTTCTTTAAATTTTTTCTTAAAGTATACTGGTCATTATGCTATATATATATTAACTCAGGTAATGCTCATAACAGCTTTGTGCAGTAAGCCCCATTCTAATCTCCCATTTATGGATGAGCAAAGCACAACAACTAGCTAAGTTCCCCTCCAAGACCACACAGCTAGGAAGAGGCAGAACCGGGGTTCAAACCCAGGAGCTCTTGCCCCAAAATCCATGCTCCCAGACATTCTGCTGGGAAGCATCTCCAAGCAGCTGCTCAGCAGGTAGCTGTCATCATCTGTTCTCAGCTGGATGCACCCAGAAGTCATGCTTGCCTGAATGGGAGAGGCTCCCTCTCACTTGACCCCTGGAAGATTTCTCTTGCCCTGAAGAAGGTGGAAAGTACTGGAAGTTTCAGATCTAGGATTTCAATCTAGCACAGACTCCCTTGTCTCACTTTTTGGAGTCTTGGTTGCCAAACTTTTCAACTGGGGACAATAATATGCAATAATTTATCCATGGCTTACATATAATAAGTTTTAATAAATAAGGATCAACAAAAGAAACAGCACAGAAATGCTAACCAGCTGCCCCATGTGTTGACTCAAAATGGACATGTGCCCACACCCAGAGAAAAACAGCTAACTAGCCAGCTCCAGCCCAGGGCTAGACTTCCCACATCCTGGCATGGAACAGCTCACAGGACCTAGACACCTGTGGAGCCAGGTGGACCAGGATATTCACTTCAGAAGGGCCTTCCACACTAGCTTTGGTATGGTACCTGGCATCCCAATGGCATTAAACAATTCTTTTATCAAGAGCAATGACTACTAAACTTCTGAATTAATATTATGAAATGAGTACATAAAATTGCCAAGGGCTAACAGAAAAAGGAATCGCAAAGAACTCTATATGATCTATATACAGCTAGCCTGTGATGCTCACAGAGTTTCAGCGGGTGGCAGAATATTTCTCAAGAACAGGCTGACCTAGTTTTGGTGGGTGACTTGATTACCATGCATGCTGACTGCTTGTATGTGCCAGACATTTGCTCCCATGTGTGCCAATCAATGGGACTCTCAATGAAATTTCTCCCAGGAATAACTGCAAAGTGTCTCAAAGGCAGAGGTCTGTGTATTTTGGTAAATAAATTGGTTAGCTTCTATTCGTTGAGTACTTCCTATTTCCACTGGGAAACACCAAAGGAATAAAGGATAGTCTATCTAACTATCTAAATCTAACAGAACAAATTAGGGACAGTAATAAGCAACCAACCAGCAGCAAAAACCATGGCAACCATACACACAGGGACAGTACACAGAAAACAGCGGGAAAGACAGTGGATTAGGAGGAAGGAATTTAGTTTTTCAGCTCTGCCTTTTTTTAGCCATAGGGGTCCAGGCAAAGTAATTAAGCTGCTTGGGCCTCAGTTTCCTCATTTGTGAAAATGATAACATCTACCTTAAAGAGCTGTTGAGAGGCTCAAATAAAGAATGCATATAGAAATTCCTAGTAAAATGCCTAGGTCAACAAAGCCCTCAGAAAATGAGCTGATTCTAGAATCTTAAAAATTTTGACAATTCTAAGAGAAATCTTGTATTACTACAAAGAGTGCTTATCTAACTAGAGAACGTTTTCTGTAAAATGCAGAATTTTTTTTAGGAGGAACGGAGCAAGCAATTGAGTTAAAGGAAATGTCAGGTGCAAAAGCTCAGGGTCAGGAATATGCATGCCTAATGAAGGGGGAGGGAGGCAGATTTAATGGAATGGAAGAGACGTGAAGGGGAGCAGCCAGGGACGGCCGTGAATGAAAGTCAGGGGCAACAAATGTCAGTAGGCTGAAGGGTTTACACTTGAAATTCAAGGTAAGAGAGACTGAGCTGAAGAAGTTTCTGATAGATTAAATTAAATGGTATATGTAAAAACTCAACTGTGAAGCGTTTTCTCTATGCATCGGATAAGAGAGTGAAGCCTGGATTAGAGCAGGAAGATGCCAGGGGCAAGGAGAAAACCAATGTATAGCTGGGTCAGATAGACATAGGTGATGTGGGCTGGAGGCAGAGGAATGCAGGTCAAGGAGATAAGAAACAATAAGACTTAGTGACAGATCCGCTGTGATCCAGAAGGATCTTTCCTACTTTGTAAAGCACACCTGACTTTAAACATAAGCCATTTGGCTCAGTGTCTTGAACTTTACAAATTCCTCTAAGTTGTTGCACCCCTTTAAATGCAGCTGGCCTTTTAATAAACACCACACCTCCGAGCCTGATACCAGAAAATGCTGTACCCAGCGGCTGCTGGAAACACCGATTTGGTCAGCCTCGGTTCAACCAAGCAGCACAAATCCATGCTGGGGAAATGGTTCCCAGGCCCTGTTTTGATGGCTCACAAAGTTTTCTCCTTTGCCAAATGAGCATGCTCTTAAATATTCCCAGCATTATTTGGATTTAAAAACCCTTCCATGCCAGCAAGCAAAAAATTACCGTGATTTCTTTATGGAACTTTAAAACCTGAAAGGAAGAAATTAAATCACACATACTGCCCCCCAAATCCAGATGGGACTCTCTCTTCTCTAATAGAAATGAAAAGCCTTACCAACATACCCCCTTTCAAAGTGCACCTAAAATGCTGGCTGCTTTTATCTAATATTCATCAAAATCACATTACCTGAGCATTGAACAACTGACATCTAATATTTCCTGCGTATCATGAGACCTGATGACAGAGGGCAGGGGAGAGCAAAATCTAACCTACCATTCCAGAGATGGTTATCAGGAAGGAAAAGTTAATCCTGTGACCAAAGAATTAGTCCCAAGTATTGTGTATCTCTGCTGAGAAGTGAACCATATGGTCTTGAAAATGTAACAGCCATGAAGAGTCTCCTGATACTGGGAGTAGTGGAAATTAATTAATCTTTTTTCCTCCCACCTTACTCTTTTCCAACCCACATGCCTAAAGCCAAAGCCTTCCTCTGGGAATGAGCCTGTCCCACAGAACTGCCCTGGAAAACCATATCCGTTAGTGGGCCATGTTGCAACACCATCTCATAAGTGGATGGGCACCACAGGTAATATATCTCAATCTCTTCATGGCATGCATAGTCCAAAGATTCTAAAGCCAATTAAGTAAGAAACCACAAGGGTCACTGCAGATCAGTGCATGACAAAATCTGATTCCAAGTGTTAGTAGAAGGGATCAAAAGTAAGAACTCTTTCTTTGATCATGTGGGCAGATAGACAAGAAGTAGTTGTCTTCCTTGGGCCATAAGGATAATGAGATGTGATGGATTCTCATGTGCCAAACAAAGTGGAAGAATACCACAGACATTCAAATGACTTAGTTTAAATATCGAATTTTCCCTAATTTGATGGATGCTTTGATAAAAAAGCATAGTTCCCTAGTCTTTCTTGTATATGATTCTTATTCTCAAGGACAAGCCAAAACAGGCTTTGGGAGGCCTTTGTGTTTACAGCTCTTCAGAACTGATATGTTAGGTCTATTTTTCATAAAGCCTTCACTGATGTATTCCAATAGTGCTCTTTACAAATCTATTTAATGATTTTGTAAATGGTAATATGAGCAGCTCTTCTGAAATCAATTCTAAAGGTAACATATGGTTATTATTACAATGCTCTTTTGTAATGCTCATTACAATGTTTATAACCGCATAATAACCCTAACCCCTTGGTTAGATACATAACTAAATCTCTCTCTAAAAGATCTAAATGGGGGTGTTAAATTTTGAGATAAAATTCCCACAGTGTTAACAAGGAGAGAGAGCAAGGCAAACAAATACCTACAAATCCACCTTCTCACATGGATAGACAGCTGACCTTAAACGAGGGAGACGCTAGAGCAGCCTACAGAGCAGAGCCTGAGGCTATAATATCCTAGGCCTTGGCTTCTGGGCATCTTCCCAAGAGGGGCTTCCTTGTTTTACAACCTCCTTAAGCCAAGAGGAGAGGAAGAAAGGTTTATATTTTTTAAGTTAATTTTTTTTCTTATCTTGCCAGCCATCTCCCCGAGACAGGGGAATGTAAATTCACAGTACCCTTGAAGAAGTGTAAACTTGGGAAATTTATTGTATAGGAGGATTCCCATTTGTCTTACATCCAATGCCATTTCCTACAGAAATGTGAAAGGGTCACTACTCCAGGAAAAGAAAAGCAGGTCTCACAGACTGTAGTCATTAACCCTCCTGGGCTGCTAGAATATGCTCATACAGGGGGCTAATCAGACCAGCTCCGCAAGTCTTTTAGCTAGGAGGGCTATGCCAACCACTGAAAGCTTACCAGAGTGGGCCTCCCCTGAGAGCTGCCTTTTCCATCCTACCCCTTTAAAAGAAGAAAAAGAATCCAGTGTTGAAGTGTGAGTTTATCTGCCTATATTAAAATTATTCCTAGCTGGGGCAGGCAAACGAAGAACAATGGACAGGAGAAAACTTGCATTTTCTTTGGTTTTCAAGAGCGTATGCTATGGAATTCTACGGGGATGATACCTCCTTCACTTCCTTTGCTGATTGTTCCTCACTATCCCCAACCTCTAAATTTTCAATGCACTGGGACTCCCTGCTTTCTCATCTCTTCTCTCCACACTTCCTCCATGGGTGTTTCCTGGCTTTAAACACCTTTATGGTAACAATTCCCAAATTTATGTTTCCATCCTAGATCTCTTCCCTCAATGCCAAGTGTCCAGCTAACATCTCCACTTGGGTATCTAACTGGCATTTCAACTTAACACTTCCAAAATGGAACATCTGACTGTCCCCTTCAAATCTGGTCTTTCCTCATCTCAGTAAGTGGTATTTACAATCTTTCTGTTATTCAGGCCAAAAATCTTGGAGTCATCTTGACTTTTTTGTTGTATTCTATATCCAGTTCACCAGAAAATCCTATTGCTTGTATTCAAAATATATGCAGAATCATCCTTCCATCCCCACCATACTGGTCTAAACCCATCATCTCCAGGCTAGAATTAGTCTCCATGGCAACAACCTCTAACTCATCTCCCTGCTCTGCCTGAGCCCTCCTTCCCAACTGTCTAGTCTACACATAGAAACCAGAGTGATGCTATTAAAACTCACTCAGAATAAAAACTGACAGTCATATAATCCTTAGCAAGCCTCTTTGTGACACTACCTATAACCGCTCTTTCCCCAATACCTTTCTGACCACATTTTAGACCATCTTGTTCATTGCTGTATCTTTGGTACCTAGAACAGGGCCTGCTGAATAGAAGGTGCTCTTTAGTACTGGAATGAATAAATGCCTCACTCAAGTTAGAAAATGGCAAACTCAAAATGGAATGTTTAGATATTGGGGCTATTTGAAAATAAAATCATAAAATTAGAAACAGGTATGACTCCAAAAGATTATCTAATTCACTTCTTCATTTTACAGGTTATAAATGGAGTCTTTGAAAGCTTAATTGACTTGCCCAAGGTCACAACAGTAAGCTTAAGTGACTTGCCAGTCAACAGAAACAATCTGCCCTGTTTCACAGGAATTTCTTTTTCAAGAATATTTTGTCCTTATTTGGACTTTACTTTCAAGCAATTATTCTCCAGAATCTCCCTCATATATTCAGCATTTGGATCTTCCCACATGGTTCTAACAGTTTAGCATGGTGATTAACAACACACATTTTAGAGCCAGTCTCTCCAAATTCATGTCAGGCTACGCAGCTTACTGTGTGACCTTAAACAAACTAAAACTCTGCTGCAGAGGAAAGAAACAATCAACTGAAAAGGCAACCTATAGCTGCTATGGAAAATGGTACGGATTTTCCTCAAAAAATTAAAAATAGAATTACAATATGACTCAGCAATCCCACTTCTGGATATTTATCCAAAAGAACTGAAATCAAGATCTCAAAGAGATAGTTGCACTGCCATGTTTATTGATGCATTATTCACAATGGCCAAGATGTAGTAACAACCTAAATTTCCATCAGCAATGAATGGATAAAGAAAATGTGGTATATAAAAACAATGGAATATTATTTAGCCTTACAAAAGGAAATCCAGTAATATGTAACAACATGGGTGGACCTTAAGGACACTATGCTAAGTGAAAAAGCCAGTCACAGAAGGACAAATATTACCTGATTCCACTTATATAAAGTATCTAAACAACCAAATCCATAGAAGAAGAGAGTAGAATCATGATTACAGGAGACTTCGTGCAGGCAGGGGGAAATGAGAAGTTGTTGTTCAAGAGGTATAAAGTTTCAGTTATGTGAGATGAGAACTGTCTAGAGACCTGCTGTACAACACCATACTTGTAGTTAACAATACTGTACTATATACTTAAAAATTTGTTGTAAGAGTAGATCTCATGATAAATTTTCTTGCAACAATAAAAAACATTAGAAAACACATTTAGGATGATGATGAGACAGATTCTGAATATGCCAATCATTAAATCATGGAATAATCTCCAAAGGAAATGTGAAAATGCCATCATTAAAGACATTTGAAATTCAACTGCAGAAAAACACACAAACACATAAAGTTGGCCTTGTTCTTCTCCCTACATGGGTGACAAGACCCACACAAGCATGACCTAAGACACCACTGGATTCCACAGCAATCTCTAGATCACCCATTAGCATGAGGAAAGAAAGAGGAACACTGGGCTGGAACTGATGACTCACAGCAGGATGACTTGCTCAGCATGTTCCTGGCTCAGTTACAACTTCCCTAGGGTGCTAGGAAAGGAGCACTTAGCAAGTCCCTACACCCCCAGCTTGGAAAAGTTTCCAGAGAATACAGGAGGCTCTTCTCCATTCCACCCTACTTTTAGAATTGGCCTGAGTCTTGTTCTGTTTTGTTTTAAATCAGAAACAATCCCTGTAGTAGACCAGACCATACAATCTATAAAGGATAGATAGAACCTAAGACCAGAAGTCAGCAAACTATGGCCTAAAGGCCAAATCTGGCCCACCACCTGTTTCTCTAAATAAGGGTTTACTGGAATGTATCCACAGCCACTCATTTGCATAATGTCTATGGCTGCTTTCACAGTACAATGGCAGAGTTGAATATTGCAACAAAGAGGGCATGGCCCATAAAACCTAAAATACTTATTACCTGATCCTTTACTAAGGCTGACCTCTGCCTTAGACTAATAACTTTGAGAATACTAATTCAAATATCCTCAAGGTAAAATATGTAAAAGTCATTGCCTTCTTCACCTATTTTAATTTATGGAATAGAAAAAGAATTTCATTTTAATAGAAATTGCCAACTTTCTATGAACCTAATCCATGATATCACACTCTGGAATCTGGAGCATATATCTGCAAGAACCTAAAATAGTATGATTAAGGGAAGCACTAAAATCAGAAATACCTGAGTGTGAATCCCACATTTGCTATTTCCTATCTGTGTAACCTCTGGCAAGTTACTTAATCTTTTTAGGCTTCACCTTGAAATACAGTAAAAAATATTATCCAACTTACTAAAGTCTTGCAAGGAGTGAATGAATTCCTGTATGTAAAGGACTAGGCAGAGTGCCTGGTACATTAGTATGTGCTCAAAAGACTACCTAGTTTTATATTATTATACTTTCAAAAATTAAACTTAGGAAGATCAGTCTTCCCAGATTGAATATGAAGCTGATAAAACACAGAAGTGTCGCTTGTTAAACATTACCTGCACAGTTTGCTCCAGGATCTCCACAGAGAAGGCCCTCATTTTCTGAACTTCTGGTTGAATTCTCATCTGCCACAACACAGTGGAGGATCACTAGACCTTCAAGTTCAAAACAGAACCAAAACAAACATGAAAAATTGAAACTTTCTTCAATGTGAAAAATTCTATAAAGGTCATGACCTGTTTGTGAAAATAACAAACTCATGGCTTCCATTTCCAAGACATTCTCCCACAGCAAGGTTGGGGCAGGTGGGAGGAGGGAAGGGGGTAGTTCACAGGCCAGCAAATCTCATTTTTTAAGCTCAGCACTAAATACATAGTTTTCAATCCAGCATCACTTAGATCTAACTATGCATCTTAAGTGGGGAGACTCAACCATAACCTGTGATAGAGACATCATAGAAGCAGAAAAACAGAGAGAGTTCTCAGACCCTGGATGAGTGTCCAAGGAGAATGGGTGATGACCCCTTGTGGCAACACGCTCTCTCCACTCCACACAGACCCAGTGTTCCTCAGTGGGCTTCCTTCAGGGGAAATGTAAACTAGATATTTAATTCATGGAAATTATTTTAAAATTTCGTATTTCTACAGCTAAGAATCTCAGTCTGAGAAGGGCAGGCATCATGGAAATGTATGGGAGAGGGAGGACCCTAGTTGTGTTGTGCTTAGAAGTTTAGAACACAACATGTAATCCTTGTATAGACCTGATTCAAACAAACCAGTGTAAAAAATCACTAATAAGCTAATTGAGCAATTTGACACTGACCAGACCTAGAGCAATAGTAAGAAATTGTTATAACTGATGAAACCATAAAAATGATATTGTGGTTTAGGTTAAAAAAACAGAATTCCTGTATCTTAGAGATATTTAAATACTTATTAATAAATTAACGTATCTAAGATTTACTTTAAAATAATCCAAGAAGGGAAACACATCCCGTGCTCATGGATAGGAAGAATTAACATTGTCAAAATGGCCATCCTGTCTAAAGCAATCTACAGATTCAATGCAATCCCTATCAAAATACCAACAGCATTCTTCAATGAACTAGAGCAAATAGTTCTAAAATTCATATGGAACCACAAAAGACCCGAAATTGACAAAGCAATCCTGAGAAGGAAGAATAAAGTGGGGGGGAGGGAATTACGCTCCCCAACTTCAAGCTCTACTACAAATCCACAGTAATCAAGACAATTTGGTACTGGCACAAGAATAGACCCATAGACCAATGGAATAGATGAGAGAACCTAGATATAAACCCAAGCATATATGGTCAATTAATATACGATAAAGGAACCATGGACATACAATGGGGAAATGACAGCCTCTTCAACAACTGGTGTTGGCAAAACTGGACAGCTACATGCAAGAGAATGAAACTGGATTATTGTCTAACCCCATACACAAAAGTAAACTCAAAATGGTTCCAAGACCTGAATGTAAGTCATGAAACCATAAAACTCCTGGAAGAAAACATAAGCAAAAACCCCTCAAATGTAAACATGAGCAACATTTTCCTGAATGCATCTCCTTGGGCAAGGGAAACAAAAGCAAAAATGAACAAATGGGACTACATCATGCTAAAAAACTTCTGTACAGCAAAGGACAACATCAACAGAACAAAAGTCATCCTACAGTATGGGAGAATATATTTGTAAATAACATATCAGACAAGGGGTTAACATCCAAAATATATAAAGAACTCACATGCCTCAACACCCAAAAAAGCAAATAATGCAATTAATAAATGGGCGGAGGATATGAACAGACACTTCTCCAAAGAAGAAATTCAGATGGCCAACAGGCACATGAAAAGATGCTGCACATTGCTAATTATCAGGGAAACGCAAATTAAAACCAAAATGAGATATCACCTCACACCAGCTAGGATGGCCAACATAGAAAAGAATAGGAGCAACAAATGCTGGAGAGGATGCAGAGAAAGGAGAACCCTCCTACACTGCTGGTGGGAATGTAAAATAGTTCAACCATTGTGGAAAGTAGTATGAAGGTTCCTCAAAATACTAAAAATAGAAATACCATTTGACCCAGGAATTCCACTCCTAGGAATTTACCCTAAGAATGCAGGAGCCCAGATTCAAAAAGACATATGCACTCCTATGTTTATCACAGCACTATTTACAATAGCCAAGAAAGGGAAGCAACCTAAGTGTCCATCAGTAGATGAATGGATAAAGAAGATGTGGTACATATACACAATGGAATATTATTCAGCCATAAGAAGAAAACAAATCCTACCATTTGCAATAACATGGATGGAGCTAGAGGGTATTATGCTCAGTGAAATAAGCCAGGCAGAGAAAGACAAGTACCAGATGATTTCACTCATATGTGGAGTATAAGAACAAAGAAAAACTGAAGGAACAAAACAGCATCAGACTCACAGAACCCAAGAATGGAGTAACAGTTGCCAAAGGAAAAGGGACTGAAGAGGGTGGGTGGGAAGGGAGGGATAAGGGGAACAGGGGCATTACGATTAGCACACATAATGTAGCAGGGGGGCATGGGGAAGGCAGTATAGCACAGAGCAATTAGTGACTCTATAGCATCTTACTATGCTGATGGACAGTGACTGTAATGGGGTATGAGGTAGGGACTTGATAATGAGGGGGGTCTACTAACCACAGTGTTGCTCATGTGACTGTATATTAATGATACCAAAAAATAATAATAATAATAATAATCCAAGAAGGGAAGAGGGGTGCAAGGTAGTGAGGCAAAGGTATAGATGAAACAAGATTGGCCACATATTGTAATTGTTGAAGCATGCAGGGGGTTATACCAAGGTTCAATATGCTGTTCTCACTGCTTTTATATATATTTGAAATGCCTGTAAGAAGTTGGAGAAGGGGAGGGGAGCCCAGCAGAAGACATTTAGGGAGAGAGAAAATGGTTTGGGAGTTAGCTGGTCTTGCATTCATGACCTGTTTTGCCACTTCGCAGCCATTGCACTTTGGCAAGCTTCTCAGTTTCCTCATTGGCAAAGTGGAAATGATTATCTCTTCTGCAAAGCATTGTTGTGAGGATTCAACCGGGTATGTATGCAAAGCACTTAGCACAATCCTGGCATGTAACCAATGCTCAATTAAACTACTCAGCATTATGTAACTGGCAGAAATAGAATAACTTGCCCACTGGTTGTATTGAAATTTAAACATCTAGCCAATAGTTTCTAACCTACACAAATTCTGTATTTCAATTTAGTTCAATAAACATCCATGAGCATCCAGAAGTGGATAGACATGCTCTACCCTCAAACTGCTCCAAAGCTTCTAAGGCAGGTAACCAGTCAACCAATTAACCATAACACAAAGCAACAGTATTGTATCAGAGAACAATAGTATCTAGCAAGTTCAAAGGCCAGAAGAGTTTTCACAAAGACCCTTTCAAAAAAGAGACTCTTTTCTACCAAATTGGAAAAGATTCTTTTAAAGAAGAAAAAAGAGGTGGTATCTAGCATTGCAAGAGAAATAGAAGCTGAAATCCACTGTGCTGCTTTTCTGAAGGACAATTTAGTACTATATGCAGTAAAAGGGAAAAAGGAAAAAAATGTACAAGTGTTTGAATCCATAAATCTTTAAATCCCTAGGATTTCATTTCTAGTAATTCTTGCTAAGGAAAAAAATTCAAGATATATAAGATGATTTAGCTACAAAAAGTCTGCATGACATGGGGTATAAAATATTAGAAACTGCCTAAATATCTAACAATGGAGAACCGATTAAATATGTGGAACCATTTTCATGCAATAAAATGCTATTTAGCCATGAAAAAAATTTTTCAAACATTAATAGAACATTTCAACATATTCTAAATAAGAGAAGTGAGCTATAGACAAGTGATGTAATGTGATGATCTGTGTGTCTGCACATATGTGTGTGACAAGTGTAAAAAATATCCACATGGATAGAAAAGTCAGAAAGGGGGGTAAGCAGAGTTGCTCACAATGGTTAGAAGACGTTTACCATAATCTTCCTTATTTGCACTTTTTAATTTTTGTACTAGATATTTTCTTTGTTGCAACAAGAAAAAAAGGAGCAACTCTCAAATAAAAATTAAAAAAAATAAAAAACCAATGCAATTTGGCCACCAAATTTCTAGACTTTTTCAGATCTTTCATCCCAATACCTGGCCCCAACCTTTTACACCTAGAATAAACCAGAAACAAACAGTCATTTAGGGCTTCTGAAGCACAAGAATTGTGTATAACTCATCTTTATAATCCTCGTATCTAATACAGAACACAATGGATATCCAACATATGTTGAAAGAATAAATAAATAAATCTATAAACAAACAAAACAACCTTTAAATTAAAAAATCCCAGTATCAATTGCTAGTGGAAGATTTCAGTCAGTTTCTTTATTATTATAAAACCATTTCAATCCATGGGCTTTCCTCATGGGCAGAATCAGCAGGCCTTAATTCTGGAATTAACCTGTTCTAATGATGGGAATTAAAAACTACTATATGTCACAGTGATTAAACATCTGTACAGTGAGGATGAGAATAGCTTCTTTTCAAGGTTGTTGTAAAAATTAAGCAATGTAAGAAAAGGCAGATGGTTTGGTGTATAGTACATGATTTTAAGTCTACTCGCCCTCCTCACTGTCACTTGTGATCTAACCCACCATTCTCCACTGCTTCCCAACAGAGGAAGTCCTCATTCCACTGAAACCCTCCCCAAGCCTCCAAACATTCTGGCAGGTTGGGGGCCTGTGCCCAGAATCTCTTCTGCTAAAGCTCACTCCACATGCCGGGATCAGCTGGCCAAGAGATGCCCCTGGAGAGGACCCTAGGTGGGGGCATCCTCACGCAAACCAGAAACCAAACACACGGTGCACTGCCCCTCTACTGCCCACTCACAATCTGCAGGATAAGCTGGTGGCCATGAACCAAATCCAGCCTGAAGAACTGTTTTCTTGGTCTGCAGAGTTTTCAAATCTGAATCTGCATAGTTTTCAAATGTGAACAAGACAGTTCACATTAAATCTAGATTTTTCTGCTTCCATTGAAAACATGGAAGCTCTGACAACATAGGTCTAAAGCACCTTCATGGCAACAACTAGCTAAGTAG